CCATGGTGGCTCACGACTCTAATCCCATTTCCTTGCTCTGTTGCTTGCATCCTTTCATTTATGCCTCTTCAAATTTTGCCCACACTTCGATTCACTTTACAATATATTCTGTGAAGCGCTTTGAGACATCTCAAAGACGTGATAAGGCGCTGTATCAAATGCAAAGATTATTATATTATGTCTTGTGATCAGACGGTCATGTCTATTAACCCTTTCCGTTCATACGTGGAGTCCTGTAGCTTAGTAGTTAGAGCACTCATCTTGCAAGCAAGAGGACTTGGGTTTGATTCCCGGGCAGGGCAAAACATTGGGCAAGTTTCCTTATTCCATACCTGTTTACCCAGCAGTAAATAGGAACCCGGTTGTTAGTCGATTGGCGGATCGCTTTTCCAGGGTAATAATTCTTTCAAAAAATACTAATAATTTGGTCCCTTAATCCACGACTGTTTGTGGGACGCTGCTGTGCGCAATTGGCTGCCATGATTCGCCCACAAGTATACAGTCGATTCACTTCACAGTATATTCTGTGAAGCACTTTGAGACGTCTTGAAGACGTGATAAGGCACTATATCAAATGCAAGGATTATTATGATCTAATCTTGTTAATGATTTTCCAAGCAGTGGCAATAATCTTTCACTTTCTTTTTTATTTAAAACAAAGTTAAAAATTTAGCCGACTTGATCGGATCCTCTCTTAAACTTCTCTGCTGCTGTTGTTGATAGATCAACTAACTCAGCCCAACCGTTAATCTTCTGGTCTGCATGGCTCCGTGCTGTGAGGGAGGTTTTCTTAACCATAAATCCATTGGGGACGCTGTTTTAAATTAAAGATAAATAAATGCAGGCTGTTTATATGTTTGCCGCTCTCAGAAAGCAAGAGCATTTTGTTCTTAATAAAAATCCAAGACCTAAGCTCCACAACAGGCAAAATGAGGCGATTTGCCCCAAACTCAAAAGGGTAATGGGTCTGAACTTTGGGATGATAACTGTTTTGCTCATGAGCGCACCCGAGACTGAGTGACGGAGGAATTGGTGACACATTGTTCTTGGATTCCTTGGGTAGATGCGTTGAGTTTCTCTCCGCGTACACCAATAAAGTGTTCATACGCTGTGTGGAACCGTAACCCTCTGAGTACTGAAGGCACAATCCATCTACACCTAGTAGCTAAACATGACAATGTTAGCATTTTTCATTCCACTGACACGACCATTAATAAAGCAATGATCCAAAACTCGGTTTGCTGAGTCTGTTCTTTGCCTCCATCATTCACGAGGATAATTTTGCACTGCATCATTTTTAAATGAAATGATGGAAAGCGTATTGCTTTTCATTGTTTACCGTGTTCAGTAATCAAGTTTAAAGAAGTGCATCAGAGCTTCACAGCATCTGAAATTAAGACTAGCTTCAAGCACGGTAATGGTGCTGTAAGTTATGCTTACATTTTTTTTGCTGGCTGCGTTTATATTGCTATTGAGTAATTATGAAAGCCCCGGTTAAATAATTACTCAAAAAAATTAACCTTTTAAGTTCCACTGGCATCACTGTTCATTTACAAAGTTTTTATATTAATGTTTTTATGTTCTAGATTGCACTGCCTGAAAGGGTAGTGGAAGCAAATTCAATAGTAGCTTTCAAAAGGGAATTGGATAAGTACTTGAAAAGGAAAAAATTAAATGGCTATGGAGTAAGAGCGGGGGAGTGGGACTGATTGGTAGCTCCTTCAAAGAGCTGGCACAGGCACGATGGGCTGAATAGCCTCCTTCTGTGCTGTAAGATTCTATGATTCTGTGGTTCTAATATCATATATTTGATGCATTTGAAATGTCTCTAAGCACTAAATGGTTAATTGCTGTTAAATGTAGTGACTGTATTTTGCCAGCGAACAGCCAGGAAAGTGGATCACCACTTCATTTTAGAAGGTTGACCGTCAGGACAGTTCAGTACAGTGTCACAGGGTCTTTAACTAACGTCCACTTGAAGGAACAGACGGGACCTGAATTGAACGATTCATACAAACCACATGACCTGCATTGAAGGGTGAGATGAAACTGAGCTCAAAGTCCCGATGTAGGGCTTGAGGCGGAGAGGGCTACCAACTTAGTTGGTAATATACTTTTTTTTAGAAAAGTTCACTGGTGATTTTTTTTTGAGTGATCATGTTTCTGTTCTGAATTGATTTTGAGTCTTGTTTCAGGTGGCTGAATGACAAAACGCTGCTGTTATAATTTATGTGTACACCCGTCCTATTCTGTTTGTATTTTCCGGTGCCTGAGCTGGGTTATCGAGCTGGGGACTCCCAAGCATTGTGATGCCTTGTAGCAGCTCGGCTCGTCAATAACAGTCATTGATGTGGATTTAATGCCCCGCTGGAAAGAAGCTTCAATGTTTTTGTTACATTCGCGAATCAAAAGGAAGTGTTTCTGTCAGCCAGACTGCGAGGCTGAGATCAAAACTGGCATTTGGTCTGTGGTTGTGTGTGAGAATCGTGGAATGGAACACAGCAGAAACAAGACACTCAGCACCTCCACTGGTGATTTTCTCCACATGAGACACCCAGTGCAATGGTCTTGAAGGTGTGCCCTGGTCCGCTCACTATTTCCATTTCCAATATGATTTGGGTCCATCGTCGGTGGAAGGATCCCAACCCCTAAGGAAAAAACTCTGCCTTGTCGCAATGAAAGGCGCTGTGTAAATGTAGTTTGTTGTTGTTGCAAAATGATCAGCAGGGGACAAGTAAAGTAGGGTAAGGACTGATATACCAAGCGTGCATCCTGTCTAATGCTCTCAAGCATTTACCTCTTACAGTTGTTACGGGATAGATTCTTTGGACTTAAGTTGAGTGCTATGGAGATCTAACCAAGAATTTCATTAGCTTTGCCCATCTCACCTTCTAAATTGCGGCCCATTTTACTGGCCTATAATTCCACCAGAATGAGAGTGATCTGGAGTAACATAATGGGTAAACCCGCTCTTGGCTGCCGCGTTTCACCCGCAAGGTATCCAGTCAATTCACTTTACAGTATGTCCTGCGATGCGCTTTGGGACGCCTTGAAACCATGCTAAGGCGCTGTATCAAATGCAAGGATTATTAGTATTATTCCATCAGCACTGACCTACTTTGAGAACACTTCCACACACACACACACACACACACACAAAATATCAGTGTCTTTGTTAGAATGGAGTTAAAAAGACTTGGAAGGTTTTCATACTTGAATATTGTGCATCATATGAGAAAAATTCCAGTTGATGTTGATCGCAAAGCAATGAACTATCTCCGAATATATGTATGTTATCAACAAAAGCAGTGTTAAAATTTGACAGCCTTGACGTGCTGATTCCTAGGTACGCTCGTCTCAGTACGAGGTTACAGGATTAATAATAGAGTTTCACGCTACGTGCCATTTTTAACCATGATCATTAGGATAAAGGGCATATACTTAATTACAACCCTGTTTAATTACAGCCGTGCTCAAGCTCGTTTGTTTGGTAGAATGCTAATTAAAGTAGTGAGCCTGTGGCATGTCCTTATTTTCATCCTTTGTGCTAGGTGAATGAACTAGCTGTAGTGCACCATGCATTAGTGCTTTATTTAAACAATTACAAGTGCCGGGTTAGTCCCAGCAGTGTGAACGGCCTTGACATCGCACTCTGTTTACAGTGCTGCCATGAGTTGCTTTGTCACAGATGTTTAGCTCTGAATTTGATGCCGCTGGAGTGAAAGAAAGTAAATGTATGTAAAAGTTGGGGAGTTGTGCAGTGAATAGCTCGTGGGTTAGTACGTGGCAGCCTGGCTCGGTTGGCAGCACTCTTGCCTCTGGGTCGGAAGGTTGCCAAGATGAGCTTGAGGTCCAGGCTGACATGCCAGTATTGTCCATGTATTATAATAATAATAGTAATCCTTGCATTTGATATAGCGCCTTATCATGTCTTTGAGACATATCAAAATGCTTCACAAAATACACTAATGTGAATTGACTATATATTTTGCAGGCAAAATGCGGCAGCCAATTGCGCACAGCAGGGTCCCGCAAACAGCCGTGGTTTGAGTGACCAAATTAGCAGTAAACGTACTGTACATACGTTAGTTAATATCATTTCTGTAGTCCAAGAGGGTCGGTGCCAGTCCAGATACATGTACCTTCAGGAAACACTACGGCAAATCCTCTTGCAAATCTCTCAATTTATACGAGTTATATTCTGTAAAGATTTCCCACAAAACAGTAAAAAAGAATGCTCTAAAGTTGAATGCTCTGCTCTTGGTGTTTAGAGAATGTTTTACTTGTGCCATGTAATCTGCAGTGTGGGTTGGACCAGTTGAACAATCAGTTGTGCCTATATCGTTCCCAGGCCTGATTCAGTTCAAGTCACATTGTACTGTGTTTCTTTTTGCATTAGCCCATTATCAGAGGGTAATTGAATCAAATTGAGCAAGTCTTCATATGAGAGTAGTTTTTTTTTATGGATTTTCTAATATTCATGAGCCAACTGGTATAGATCTTCCAATCCAAGTTTTATTGCTCAAATCGTCAGAATCCAGTCTTGTGAAAAAGCGATTTGCAACTCAACTGATGGAAACTATTACATTTCCCCTTGTGTGTCCTCGTGCCTGCAATCTACAGGAGTTTAAGTCCAAGCTTGGCGTTGGCCATTGGCGCTGTTGGTTGTTGAATTTTGAGTTGAGCTCAGTACAGACACAATGAGGAACAACAACAGTGACAAAAACTTGCAATTATACAGCATCCCAGATCGCTTAAAAGCACAAAGGAAAGGAACAAGGGAGTGAGATTAGAGCGCTTCATTGGGGGGAGCGAGCACAGCATAGTCACGGGCAGGCTGAACGTCCCGCCTTGTGTGCTGTAAATTTCCGATGGTCCTATAATCAATAACTTATTTATTTGGGGAAGAAAACAAAAGATGGATTTGCAACTGCTGGGCGCCAGTGGAGAATGTTAAATAGGTGTCATTAAGGGTTATTGATTGTCTCTTTCTTTTTCAGCAATGGATGGTGTACCTTTCACGATTTCAGAGAAGTTTGCCAGTGCTCTCGACGCTGTAAGTTCTTGTACTATATTGCCGTGGACTGATTGACCAACTAACTGTTCCTCTTTCATTTTCACTGCTTTCCTTTCAAGAGATCCCAGATTAAAATTCCGTCCACTTCCCAGCGCTACCATAACTTGTAAATACCGAAGAGACATGAAATTATCAGTCTGTATGTTGAGCATTAAGTAAGACTACTTCAAGTTCAGTTTTATTTTTTTCTCTCTTGTGAAAATGTAATTTTTTGTTGGGGGGGTTGGGGGTTCTGATTTAGTTGATACAGGAGCGCCCCCGTCCATACATACGTGTGTGCCTGAGCGTGCAGTGTGATTAGAGAATCGTGTGTTACTAGCCGTGAACAAAGGGTGAGAAATTTAAAAAAATTGGTCACTGAATCCACAACTGTTTGTGGGACGCTGCTGTGCTCAATTAGCTGCCGCGTTTCGTCCACAAAACATACAGTCAATTCACTTTACAGGATATTCTGTGAAACGCTTTGAGACGTCTTGAAGACACGATGAGGCGCTATTTCAAATGCAAGGATTATTATTATTATTTTTATTGCTCCACTCTTGTTTTAATGAAAAATACCCAGTGTTTTCACAGAAGGTGGGTTCGGACCAGCCCCGCTTGTGCGCTTGTGAAATCTGTTTGACTTTGAGAGGCCCAAGTTGGCTGAGTAAACAGATTTTCACCATGTGCCCAGGTTGGCTGTTGTCCAGGCTCCATGGAGTGCCTTTTTCTGTGCTGTTTACCAGATCTGGTTGGGAGTGTTGGGAGGGGGTGAGCTAAATCTTAATTAAACAGCAGCTGCACCTCCGCTGGGTTCCAGAGCAACACAAACATTACTTAGAAGAAATTTAGCAAAATCAACACCAAGTGATCTGGGACGTGAGCAGTGGGGAAGATTCAGACAAAATATGAATTATTAAGACAGTCGGTAGACACAGGCGTGGGGAGAGGAGGCACGTAACACTTGATTTAACTTGGGCTAAAGCAGTGGGTCCCTTTTTGTCGTTGCACGGAAGATTGAGCCACAGCGTACGGCGACATCTGTACGCTTGAAACTCTGGAAGTCTTTAAGGGATGTGCTCTGTGCGTGTCTTCAGGGTTGTTTGAGGCGGATTTAATAGACGTTACCAATGAGAATCGTGCCAGTGTTGTATCATGTCAAGCAGTAATTCAGTCTGAGATATGTCAGTGTCGCCACAAAGCGTAGCTCAGTGGCGACCGAGTGGGATTCTACCTTCCTGACGTTTGGTTGAGTGAGTGTGAGTGCCGTGGTGTTTACGGTATGTATCGTGCAGCCTGTCTGCCCCCACCCTTTGGAACTCCATCCCACGGTCCTTCCACCTTGCTCCCTCCTTCAAAACCCATCTCAAGACCCTCCTCTTCGACCGCGCCGTTGGTCACCCTTCTACTCCTACACTTCCTGCCTTCCACTGCCTCCTGATCCCAAACCCCAGCTCGGGTCCAAATTCCCGACTGTCTAGTGCCTTGGGACATCCTCCCAACGTGAAAGGCCTCTGTGTAAATGCCATTTGTTGTTGTTGTTGCAAACGCATGTTTAGACTGTCGACAGCTGAAGTGCTGCTTGTGTTGTGATTTCAGGTACAACCCATCGACTTAATGAGCATCACGATCAAGTCGTTGGCCGAAATAGAGAAAGAAGTAAGTGTCCATTTGGTGATGAGTCTCTCGCCGGCCCGAGCGTTTCGGTGCTGTCGTCAGGGAACCTGACCATACATTCCCACACGGCGCTGTGTGAATCACAGGACTTGTGCGAAGGTTTGTAACCCGTGTCTCGTGGCCCGACCTGTGGTCCCCACTCGGACCCCCCACTTTATGGGGGAGTCAGAAACGAGAGAAGACACCAGAGTGGCTGGCGTTGGACGTTTGTTACAACTTGCTTTATAATTCTCCCCAATCTGACGCCATTGCGTTTCCGAACATCTTAGCTTCAAAGGTTCAATACCTCTATTTCTAACTCACGTGCCAGCAGCTTTTCCATTCATTTCTCTGGTTGTGTTGTGCTGTGTTGTCCTGTGTTGTATTGTGCTGTTTTGTTTTGTGTTGTGCCCACATCGAGCCTGATCAGGTGTCGAGACTGTGGCCGCAGTGCGATTGTGGAGTTCACCTTCTTTATCTTTCAGTCTTTAAACTCTCCCAGTTTGCTTGCTGGGGCCAGATTTACTTCACTGCTTGGGACAAATCAATAACATCTCTATAAATCTTCTGATATGACTGAAGCTAACAGTGAACCTAGATTGATTGTCCCACAAGGGGAGTCAGAGGAAGGGAGAGTTGATTCATTCTTGTCTTAACGGTTTTGGCCTGCGCCTGATAATGGTCCGAAACTTTCTGGTCCTCGTGTACATAGTCTCCCAGAACGTTGTCTCAGCGCTCGGCTGTAGCCTGAAATGGCAGCCATTTACAGCTTGTGTGTTTAACATTGTGGAGTCCTGTAGCTCAGTGGTTAGAGCGCTCGCCTCGCAAGCGTGAGACCTCGGTTCGATTCCTGGGCAGGGCAAAATGTTGGCCAACTTTCCTTACTCCACATGCCTCTGTTTACCTAGCAGTAAGTAGGAACCCATTGGCAGATGGGTCACTTTTCTGGGGGTCATAATTCCTTCAAAAAAAAGAAGAAATCGGTCACTTCAATCCACAACTGTTTGTTTGTGAGACGCTGCTGTGTGCAATTGGCTGCCGTGTTTCGCCCACAAAATACACAGTCAATTCACTTTACAGTATATTCTATGAAGTGCTTTGAGACGTCTCGAAGATGAGATAAGGCGCTGTATCAAATGCAAGGATTATTATTATTATTTTTATTATAAAGCTATTCTGCCGACAGAGCCCCTTGGGGACCCACATCTTCTGGTGAAGTTGGAATTAGAGGAGCCATTTCACCGTCTGTGCTAAAATCGAGAACCTATCTGTGTGCTGGTAACAGCCGCGCAATAAACTGGCAGAGACCCAAGCCTGGGGAGCCCCAATCCCCTGTGTGGGCTGCGATCTAGACCTCGGGGTGAAAGATAACACCAACACTACAAATAACACGGAGCTAAGATGAATAAAGCTACAATAAAATCAAGGAGGGTATTAATTATAAATGTGCTGTAAATGATTAAGCAAATCTGAGTTGCATTAATGCGCTGTATTTAGTGAGCTGGTGGGCAGGAGAGATAGATGAACTCAGAATGCAGAATGTGATGAAACAGTCACTGCCTCTCGGATTGTAATTATTTAATGGAAGGGTTGTTAGAGGGAAACAAGCTTAAACCCAATGCTTTATGTATAGTCCGAAAAAGTTTACAGCACAGAAAGGCCCTCCATGTCTCTTGCTTGTGGCTTCCCCAATGGAGCGTTTTTTAACGGTCGGGGGGGGGGGGGGGGGGAGATGTTAACATTAACTTGTGGGATTCTTCCTTGTGTTTGAGAGGACGTTTCTCCTCACCTCTGTCCCCCAGTACGCATCATAAACACACAAAATTCTTCTTACAGGGAAAAAAAATGCATCTGCGATTTTTCTTTTCCTTCTTTTTCGGAAATAATCCGTGTGATGATTTAATGTTTCCAAATTGCTTAACTTGCCCGTACTTTCCCTCCTCCCCCGCCACGCTGTCCTCCAAAATCACCAGCTCAAGTGCGTTTTACCCAGAAAGAATAGGTTTCAGGTAATCTTTTCCTCTGGAAACCTGGAATAGAGAATGTTGGTTGGTGGGTAGTGGGGGGGTGGGGGGGTGGTGGTTGTGTGGGAGGAGAGAGGAGTTTTTCCAAGCGGTGAAATTAAATAGGTCCTGGAGTTAGCATGTTTGTGATGTGGGAACCGGATTATGATTATCAGTGGCTCAGGTTTTCTTGCGAAGTGCCTGCTTGCAATGCACTTGCAGACAAATAAGTGTTTCGCTCACAAAATACGGAGTTGATTCACGTCTCGAAGACATGATAAGGCGCTATATCATATCAAATGCAAGAATTATTATTATAACTCCACATTCGCACAGGTAATAATATAATAATAGTCCTTGCATTTGATATCGCGCCTTATCATGTCTTCGAGACGTCTCAAAGCGCTTCACAGAATATACTGTAAAGTGAATTGACTGTATATTTGTGGGCGAAACTCAGCAGCCAATTGCATATAGCAGCGTCCCACAAACAGTCGTGACCAACTTATTATTGTTTTTTTTCTTGAGGGATTATTATCAGGCGAGTGGAGTAAGGAAAGTTGGCCAACATTTTGCCCTGCCCAGGAGTCGAACCCAGGTCTCACGCTTGCGAGGCGAGCACTCTAACCACTGAGCTACAGGACTCCAGGTGTAATAATTCCTGGAGCGAGTGTTGAATGTGGCCGGCTCTTGGTACTCAGGGCTGAGTTCCTGATAGTATTCACTCACTGGGAGAACAAGATCGGCTCTGGAAACGCTTGGTCCCCATTAATAAACATATCTGCTAAGTGGGAAGAATTTTCAATGCTTGTTCTAGCAATTAGGTTCCTTTTGATTCCCAAATGAGAACAGAAACACTTCTTGATTATAATTGCGCGTAGTCACGCATATCTAATTTGTGTCTTTTTAAAGTGTTAATTAGTAAACATTTTTAGCTGACATCTCTATGTATTTGTATTTTGAAAAATGAGTCCCATTTCCTTTGACTTGCTGGCTGGGAGCTGACACAGTTTCTGCTGTGACATCACTGAGTACGAGGCAAATTAATGAAGACATGCTTGTCAACCATAAAAAAAGCTGGGAAATTAAGAATTTTTGATCATCTTTGCTTTCATCCCGTGCATATATTCCAATGTTTCTTCATTATTTTTTTTTAACTAGTGGACATTGATGCATGGGCTGTATGATGTGAGCTCCCTGTCGCTGCAATCCATCATGATAATTATACTTTTGTTTGTATTTTTGTAAGCAATTATCTGCCTCCCGAAGTAATGAGCGCGCCCCGTGCTCGCCACGTGCCGTTAATGCTGCTGTTAATTTGTTCTCGAGAAAGTCTCGTCGCCCACTTTACAGGTTCCACAAAGTGCAGCGGTGTTTCAGTACCTCGTGGCGAAGCGCGGTCTGCTATCACCCTCCAGTGGCGGGTTTGATTACTGCAGGGCTGCGGCTGAAACGGTTTGAAGGACAGCTCATTTCCGCAGGGCTTCCTGACCAGTGAATGTCATTGCACCTTGGACGCGTTATTAGTTTTCTCTCGCTGACGTTTAAAGGCTGGCACTGCAGGCACGAGAGTGCAAAGCTCTTTTTAATGTGTTTGAGAGAGAGAGAGCGAGCGAGCGAGAGAGCAGTAACTTCATCATTGTGTGATAGTCTGCACATCGCACGTGTAACTCCGTTGTAATTGTTTGAGATTTGATCTGATGAGCGGGCAGGAAGCAGTGATTTACTACAACAAAAACAGAAGTCGCTGGGATCACTCAGCAGGTCAGGCAGCATCTATGGAGAAAGGAAAGTGAGTCAACATTTCGGGTCCCCGACCCTTCGTCAGAACTGGGGCATGTTGGGAGGGAGAGGCTTTTAAGGGCTAACAGAGGGGGGATGGGGGCAGGGCAAGGAAGTCAAAGGAGAAAATGGGGTAGAAATGGGGCTCTTCCTTTTTCCACTTTCCTCTCTCCATAGATGCTGCCTGACCTGCTGAGTGTTCCCAGCGACTTCTGTTTTTGTTTCAGATTTCCAGCATCTGCATTATTTTGCAGTGTGATTTACTGCAGTTTATTCTCAAATCCAGAATAGCAATATTAATCCTGGCCTCCAAGGAACTCTCATCTCTAACTTCCTGGCGTTAGCATCAACTTCTGAGAAGTGTTTTGGGGAAGGAGTATGTGGTGGGTGAGGGGGGAGAACGGAGAGGAAACAGGAGGTGGAATTTGTTGGGAGAATTTAAAAGCTGCTTTTTTACTCATTTTAACAGAAAACTTGAGACAGTGTTTTTATTTGAGAACAAATTTCTTGTCCCTATTTTGGCTCCCGGGAAATGTACAAACAGGATGCGAGGGGACGGGTAACAAGCTGCTTTCAGCTCAATATTGGGGCTGCTCTGCTCTGGTTCGCTGCATTTATTCCAGAGGGGCGTGGGTTGAGTGTGTTTTGTCTGTCTTTCATGGACCAGAGAATGTACTTGCACTGAGGCGCTGGGCAAGCTCATCTGATGCTATGTGTTTCCTGGGTGTCTCATGCTTTAGGCGAGTTTCCCTCTCACAGTGTATCACAGCACCTTACAGAATCCATTCCTCATCGTTACTTACAGCGAGCAGTCTGGTCTGGTCTGGTCTGGTCTGGTCTGGGTGGGCAGAGCGCGCTCCCACACAAAGGCTACGGCGCAAACTTGCTCCAGAGCAGTGCTAAGGAAGGTGTGAAGCCACTATGTGGAGCAGTATCAATGCACTTACCCAGTGTTGCTGGCTTTATCTTCCTCTGGAGACCTGGGAATCTGGCAGAACAATTTATCTTCGGTGAAGGCCCCTCAATGTTTGCTTAAAGCTGGCCGGTGCCCTCCTGTCTTGGGACACGTTGCGCTGGTGTAGAGAGCCGCGAACCAGGAAACTTAACCACCCCCCCCCCACCACCAGCTGCCTAATCCCCTCTCTCCATGACTGCGGGACGTGTGACATTTCTAGAAGAAAGCTTTCTTTTATATCAACGTATCACGTTTTAAAAATCTCGGTGAGTTTTGCAGTAATTGCCGGCCAGGATGGTGGTGGTTGTTACCGAGAGCAGCTGACGTATTGTTACGTAGGGATAGGTCAGGGACGCGAGACGTTCAGCCCGACTGGTCCGTGCCGGTCTTCATAAACCACACAATCTCCCACCGTGACTGTTGGCTAAATCCAAGACAATTCAATGCACCGGTTGACAGAGGACATGTGTTCCCAGCCGTGGCCACCAGGTGGCAGCCACTCCTCACTTAATGCCATCGGCCAGGGCTGTGAACCCGAGCGGTTTCTTTCCTGCTGTGCGCGCGTGTGCATGTGCATGAGTGTGCGTGTGCATGAGTGTGCGTGTGCATGCGTGTGTGTGTGTGCATGCGTTGGAGCGTTTGTCACGGTGTTTAATCCAAAGGCTGAAACTTGTCTTAATAATAATAATAATGATAATAATCCTTGCATTTGATATAGCACTTTTCACGTCGGGAGTACGTCCCAAAGCGCTTCACAGAATATACTGTAAAGTGAATTGACTGTATATTTGTGGGCGAACGCGGCAGACAATTGCGCACAGCAATGTCCCACAAACAGTCGTAGATTGAAAATGACCAATTTATTATTGTTTTTGGTTTTGGAGGGATTATTATTAGGCTCTGTGTGGAGTAAGGAAACTTGCCCAAGGTTTCGCCCTCTGCCTGGAATTGAACTCAGGTCTCTCACTTGCAAAGCGAGTGCTCTAACCACTGAGCTACAGGACTCCACTGTGTTGGGAATTGATCAAAACGAGCTGGAAGAGCCGGTTAAAGATTTTCTTTCCTTGCCGAGTGTTCCGCACTCTCTCTGAGGGACTTTAGGATGGTTTCCTATGTGAAAAGCAATTTAGAAGCACAGGTTTTTGTGGCTATATTTCCCCTCTCGCCCCATGTGCAATGAAACAAGCCTTTTACAGCACCAATAGAACAGGAGGAGGCCATTCAACCACTCGAGCCTGTTCCGCCATTCTATAAGATCATGGCTGATCTGTACCTCAACTCCCAATTACCCGCCTTGCCCCATATCCCTTGATACCGTTATACCTAACAAATATCTATCCACCTTATTCTTGGCAGTGGCACTATGATGAGTTGGCAACTATTAAGATCTGTAGTTCAGAGCAAACGACCGCAGTTTTGCTTGTTATCTGAGCTTCGGGCTTTTCACTCGCTTCCTCTTATCTCGTGATTATATCAGCGTTGTGTTAGGTGGGCAACATGACATTGGCATGAATACATTTACCTTGATCACTCAAAAAATGCCCGGCCCCGTATCACCTGTGTGAATTTCCATAACCCATGTGTGTTTGTCTCTGTGCGTATAACTGTGTGTTAATCGGGTCACTATACCTCTGCCAAATTTACTTCCATTATATTCGCTTCATTGCTGATCTAATCCAATCTCACTGTGTAAAACTCTTCAAGACGTTTCATTTACGGGGAAGGCACTGAATAAACAAATGTAAGCCATAACGGGGAGAATCTGTGTAGAGTTTCTGAGTCTTGACTGACAGTCCCCCAGGTAAAATTGATCTTTCACGCCATGAGCTGTTTGTGGGGACATTGCTGTACGTAAATTGCTATCTCTGTTTGCCTGCGGAATACACAGTCACTTCACTTTACAGTAAATCCTGCGAAGCGATTTGGGATGTCCTCCCAATGTGAATATACGATGTGTGGAAACACACAACCTCTTTATTGCTATTTCCGTCATTTGCTCCATATGGGTTTTCTTCCTGTGTGTCCGCCACTCTCAAGCGCTCTGGGATGCTACCCTGCTTGAGGGGCGCTGCATCAATACAAGTTATTGTTGTTGTTGGTATTGTTGTTGTGCGTGTCTCAAACCCTCTGAAAACCTTTCCGACATCGATCCTGTGCTGACTCTGCTCTCTCTCTCTCTCTCCCGGCAGTACGACTACAGCTTCCGAACGGAACAGAGTGCCGCTGCCCACCTCCCTCCCAGTCCCAACAAAGCCAGCCTGCTGCCGTCGTCCTGAACACACGCGTGAGCGCACGTGCGGCCACCAACGCTTGTCGTAAAGTGAGTGGGGGGGTGCCGAGCGACCACCGGAACAGGCACCGTCACAGCAAGCAGCGTCGCTGGGAGATTTTGTTCCTTTTACCTTCTACTGAAATGGCTCCCATATACTCAATGGGACAGAACGTGATTTCCCATAGCCAGCAACCTGCCTACAACTTAACATAGAGCAGTAGGACTTTTGTACGTGGAGCTGTCTTTTTTTTCCCCTTTTCTCTTATCGCTGTGCGTTTCGATGTGGTCTCCAGTTGCCGGTCTCTCAGCCTCCTGTGTTTTGGTTTGTTTACCATTTGTAACAAGTATAAAATCCGAGGCTGGATGCCATTATTTTTTTTCTTCTTCGCTCTTATTCCTCGAACCAGTTTGAGCCATTGCTTTCCTTCTGTCAAAGTGATTTGCACAAGTCAAAATTCACACCAGCAACTCTTTTTTGGGGTGGAGAGGGGGTGGATGGGCTCCTCTATTCCCGCTCCGCTCCCCCCTCTCTTTCCCCCCCCCACCCCTTGTTCTCTCCTACTGACATTTATACAGCGTTTCAGCTCGGAGACATTCAAGCCATTTGTACTAATGTTTTTGTACTAAACTAAGCCATTTTTATCGAAAGGGAGGGATTAGACTGTTGTGTGGTGTAAAGGGGAAGGAAGGGTAGATTTCGAACGATCATGTTACATTTGTGGTGTTTTTTTTTACTTTTCTTGTTCCAAATTAGTCGAGAGTCACAAAGAGAGAATCAACGCTGTTTGAACTGCAGAATTGCTGAAGTGGACATTACAGTTTTATTCAGATCAAGGATTATGTGTTTTAGGATGGGGGGAGAAGGGGGTCTTAAGACCTTCTGCACTCTGCACTGCCAGAGACAAAAGGACATTTTTGTGCAGAAGTGATTTTATGTAGCGCTTTATTCCGAGTTTCTCTCTATAATTGGTTTTCTGTTGGGTCTGGATGTCCCAGAGAGAAAAAAAAACATGAGAGAATGTTACTCTGTTGGAATTTGAGAATTATTTCTGCATGTGTGTTGTAAAAAAATAATAGACGTGCTACGTCTTGAAGTCTTGGAGAGAAGACAGTTAGCTGGACGGCTGTAGGCGAAGGCAGCGATGATGGGAGCTCCTACCCTCGGTGATCCTCTGTTACGGGAACAACACTTCGCTGCTGACTGTTGATGCAGTATTTCCCCCCTGAAAGCTGCTCTGTCGCCCCGAGATGTGTGTCAGTCTGTAAAATGCACTGAGCTGCTTTGCACTGCATTTTAAGCGTTTGGGCTCCTTTTTATTGATGGACTGACTGTCTGACTTTTTTCTTGTTGTCGCTGTCTGTGTGTTAGTTTGTTTGTTTCAGATAATCTTACCCATTGTGTTTTTCTTTCCAACTCGCCCTGTAGCTTGGACTAGTGTTCCTCAATCCCCTTTGCTCTTGTCGTTGTGGTTGTTTCTCTGAAATTGTGCGACACTGTAAAAGCTCTCATTGAGCCCCTTAATCGCAGCTTCAACCACTGCCATGTGTCCCCAGCCTTACATCAGTCAGTGAGACCGACTGCAACAGCCTCCCCTGGGGTATGGAGTTGTGTTTACAGTGAGTGAGCCCTGCACTGTGAGGAGCCAACTATCAGTACTGTATTTGCACCAAACTCAGAAACCTAACGCTTTATACCAACAGCAGCTGATTTAATACGTGAGCAGATTTGATAAGTGATAATGCACAGACTCTGTGTAAATAAAACTTTTAATATAACTTTATTTCCATTAGCAGAACCAATTAGTGGCTATTGCAATGTAGGGTTTGGACTGTCAGGGTCAGAGACGCCAATGTTTAGGATTGCACATTGTGGTTGGTTGCTGAGCCAGTTTATAGAGTAGTTATTACCCTGTGTGTGTGTGTGTGTGTGTGTGTCGCTGTCCGAACTGAACAAAAAAAGTGCTTTGAAGGGTTTTGGAACGGCCGATCTCCTAGCTTCCCCCGGGAATCGGACGCTGCTTCCCCCCTCGGCTCAAAGCCCACCCAACAGGAAGGCCGCTGAAGCTCAGTGCGCTCCCAAAGCAGAGTGCCCACAGGTCAGTGGGATGCACTTCAGCTACTGTCGGGAGTCACTATTTGAGATACCCATTGTGATCCCCCACCACCTGTCTCTTTTTCCCCCCTCCCTCCCTCCCCTCGTGACTCCTGGTGCTACCTACACGTGCTTCACCACAAGAGCATCTGCCTCGAGAAATTCTGTGTTCTCGAACTGAGGTAGACTGAATGGTAAACGGTCCAGCGGCCATGATAGCAAGGTGTTTCTGTAGAAAGAGCAGCGGACTGGAGTGTGAGCCTCGGGGTGGGGGGATGGGGCGAGGTGGGGAGGGCTGGGGAGGGGCGGGAGAGGAGGTGATAGAGAGCAAAGCATTGAGAATGTCACTAACCACTGATGTAGTATTTTGTCCTAAGTGGTCGGAACGTGGTAACATTTCAATTATAAGCTGTAGAACGTCGAACAAGATGTCGGCATCTTACTTGTAGAGGGAGCGAATGACATTAAGTTGTAACTTACCCAGCTCCACGTGAGGTTAGTCGTTCGTGTCTTGATTTTATTTTAAAATTGTCGAGAGATTGAAACCATTGTTGCTGGATTCTGTAGAATTGTAATTTTCCTGTATTTATTGTAGACTTGGTTCCTGTATTTACAAAAGGGAAGTTTACAATGCCGGGTTCATTGAGTCTGTATTAATTATGTAACTTGTTGAATAAAGTAACACTTGTTTTAACTGACCTCTGTCCCTTTGTGTTAACATCACCTGTGTTGAACTATGTGGGTGTGTGGGGGGAGAGGGGTTGAAGATTGAGGATGTCACTGGGGTGTGTGGGGGGAGAGAATAGGAGGGCAAACATTTAAGCTCATCGCAGAGAATTAAAAGGTTAGAATTGTTGTTTAAAGGGAATTGGATGGACACTTGGAGAAAGAGGAATGTTAAAGTGGGTGATTGAAGGGGATGGGGAGTGAGCAGGGAGTGGGGCGCGTTAGGCTGGTGAGTCAGGAGAAGAGACGAGGGCAAACTTGCTGAGTTGAATACCTCCTCTGTTCTAACCCGCTGAACGCTGTATCACAAATGTGTCCTTTAGGACGCACTGACCGGCAGGGCCAGGGTGACTGAGGTGCGAGGCGAGGCGCCCCCTCACCCCGATGGACGCTTCACTGGGTGTGGGAATAGCTGGAGGCTGTTCATGCAAGTAAGTGGCGTCGATAACCAGGTTATTAAACAACTCCCGCAACGCTAAATGACGGGGCCGGTGGTTTGTCTCAGGTGCTGTGTGTTTGGCGCTCGCTCTGGATGTGTGTAATGTGTATGTATATACCTGACCAGGGCGTTTCCACATCACAGCAACTCGGTGTGCGCGTGTTTGGTTGTGTTTGTGGGACGCTGCTATGAGCAATTGGCTGCCACATTGTGCCCACAAAACACCCAGTCACTCCACTTTACAATATATTCTGCGAAGCTTTTTTGAGACGTTTCAACGTTGTGATAAGTTGCTATATCAAATGCAAGGATTATTATTATTATATTATTATTATTAATAATACACCCAGCAGCCACAAGCGGAGGCTCTGAGCTGGTCTCCCCAGGTCTCTGCCTTGACAGGGAAAGTCTTGCTGGGACTCCCTCGAAAGAAGGAAAAATGATCCTTTCGGGCAAAAGTTGCTAAAAAAATATATTTTTTCCATAAGAAAAAACTGAGTGGGTCTCAGACAGGGCTGCTTGTTGGGTTTGGAGCCAATATGTGGTTCAAATGTTGAACCTCTGGAGGCAACTCATGGACTGGAGAGCCACTGCAGATCAAGCAAACATCTGTATTTCATTCCCTCGCCATCCGTCATTCTCGCATAATATGCACAAGGTTGTTGCTCCCCCACCCCACCCTGCCCCCCCTCCCCCCCCCCCCCCCCCCATCCCTACCGCTCTGTTAGTGAAAAATAGCCGGCATCAGTCAGGGGTCCTGACTGCGAGGGTGAGGCAGGCCGTAAGTAATGAGGTTCAACAGGGTAAGGGGCACGTGGTTTGTGGATGGCGGGCGGGCGGACTGGGGCTGGGGAGAGGACTGGAGAGTTTAACAGGAAATTATCTTCCATGTTGGGCTCCGTTATGGCTGTAACGTGTGTGTGTGTGTGTGCAAAATCCCCACCATCCAACAGGTATGTATCTACACCACAACTCCATTTGTTCAGATCTTTGTTTCACATTTACATGCACATCTCTCCAGGGAATTATCAGGCTCACTGGACCCGCCTATAACTGGACCTGCCAATATTTTTATTGAGTAGATGTCACTGGGTGGGGGTGTGGGGTGGAGGTGGTGGGGGAGGGGGTGCAGTGATTGTGTTGAGTTTGTATGTGATTCGATGCTGAAATGAACACTGATATTTATCACAGTGCTAATGCTCCTGATGTTGATGTTGGCAGCAGTTTTATTCACTAATATTACCCAATGGCAGAAATAATTACACTGAAGGAAAAATGCCAAATAACATAGGTACTTGTCGTGTCATCATGTCGCACATTCTGGTCTCATTCTCGTTCCCGTTTGTATTATTTTAACTTTGGCTTTTCATGCAAAGTGTGGCAAAGGTTTTTTTTGTTGGTGGGGAGGGGGGATAGCTGCAGAGTGTGTTCGGACAATTGCACTTGGTTCCGATGACTATAAAGAACGGCTTAGATTTGCAAAATGTCTTGCAACCCGAGCTTTTGCTCCACGTTTGAAAATCACTTGACTTCCAGCTGTCCCGAATATCCCGACAATGGCCCAGGGAAAAACTACTCCCAAGTATTAATTATTAGGTTGTTTTTAAACAGCGTCGATGTTGATGCTCAGGTGAGTCTGATACCAGCATCGCAGTTCTCTTCTCCTGCCAGAGCCAGGCTTTCTATCGGATGATTGCAAAAGGTATTATTTTGTTTCCTTGCATGTGTTTAGCGGTCTTGATGATCAGTGCTTACAGACTCGACACACACATGTACATAGTTGTGCACTCACTCACACCACACACACACACACACACACGCAGAGAAACATGCACAGACCCACACATGTATGCTACATACATGCACACACACACATACGGGTCTTTGATTTGAGAACTCGTTGCGTTTGCTGGATTGGGGAGCTGAGTGGGGTGAGAGGAGGGAGGTGAGTGGGTGGGGGGACGAGTGGGTTGGGAGGAGGCAGGTGAATGGTTTGGGTGTCTGTTCGCAAAGAGACCCCGGAAATCCGCTTGCAGTGCATGAGCCAGTGAGATGTTCTCTGACTGAAGATTCCACTTTCATCTTAATGAAGCTTTTCGTACTTATAAATAAAATCCAATTGAGGGATTGGGATGGGGGGTGGGGTGGGAGTGGAGAAAAATTGTTCCCACAAGTCATTCATGTATTTTAATACGCATTTGAAATAAGACAGGTTTTCATTATTAGAGTTAATAGGTAATGATCTCATCTGCTTCCAATATTTCTAAGGGGAACTACAGAAGGCCATTAATTCTGATAGTTTTGAGCAAAACCATCTGTTCCTTCTTTCTACTTGATGTGCTTTCGTTTAAATGTATTTTTTTTTCTCTTTTGCCGGTCGGTGTGTGTGCACAAGATCTATTAATATACTTTTTTTTCTTGAAAAAAAATATCCACTCGCTCAACTCAGAGGCCAGTCTAACTCTAACTATTCCACTGGAGAGTTCCCATTCCTCCCGCAGAAATACTCAGTGAGAAAGGAATGCGTTCAGCCTCAAAGCAGCCACCCAGCGCCGACGAGAGCCGGCTTCAGGGGGGAAACGGGGCACAATATATTTTATTGAAATAAAGCGGGGAAACAGGGGAAGTGCTTTCATTGACTGGCGATTCAGGTTGCTTTCAGATTCAAATCCAGATCTTTCTGGCTGTGTCACGGACGCTGGATTTTTTTTACGTACTGTCTGAATCGCACAATACTTTTGGGACACTTGATGGAGTCCTGTAGGTGCTCTCACTTCACAAGCGAGAGACCCGGGTTCGATTCCCAGGCAGGCAAAACCGTTGGGCAAGTTTCCTTACTCCACACACACACCTCTGTTTACCTGGTGCAAGTCGGAACCCATTTGTTAGTCGATTGGCAGATCGCTTTTCCAAGGGAAATTTTTCCTTCAAAAAAAATACATAATTGGTGACTCAATCCACGCTGCTGTTGCGTTTCGCCCACAAATGCACAGTTCGCTTTACAGTACATTCTGTGAAGTACTTTGAGACGTCTCAACGATGTGGTAAGGGGCTATATCAAATGCAAAGATTGTTATTATTATCATATGCCACAACGTGATGAAATCAGCCGGTCGGCAGATTGACCCGAGAGAAGGAAGGAGAAGACTCGTAGGTGGCTCTGCTTATTGTCTCATTGTCCCACCACATTCCACCCCTACCTGGGATGTGTCAGAACGAGCTCGAAAATGGTAGTGGATTTGGTGGGTGTAGTTTGATCAAACAACTCTGGCGTTCAATATAAGTTGAATTTTCAAAGCCTCTTCCCAAGGCATTTGCTGTCGAGTGCGGTGACTGTATTTAATAACAATAATGCTAATAATGATCCTTGCATTTGATATATAGAGCCTTATCACGTCGTTGAGACATCTCAAAGCGCTCCACTGTAAAGTGGAGTGGTTTGTGGGCGAAACACGGGAGCCAATTGCACCCAGCAGTGACCCACAAACAGTCATGAGTGACCAGATTTTTTTTTGGAGGGATGATTACCCCTATTATTTGCAGGGAAAAAACACACCAGGAAATTTGCGCCCAGCGGTGTCTCGCAGACTCCCCAGCGCCACGGAGTGAACGGCCGTTTTGATGTGGGGGATTGTGGGGCGGGAGAGAGAGAAATTCCCTTCTCTTTCCCAATAGGGTCGTGGGATGTTGAGGTCTGCCTGAGCAGGCAGAAACAGCTCTGGCACATTGCGACATGATGAGGTGCTACAGAAATGCAGTTCTTTCTTTAGTCGTCACTTTAGTGTTCTGTTTCAGCGGGTGGGAGGTGGGGGGGGGAGTGTGGGGGTGGAGTGTGGGGGTAGGGGGGGGAGTTACCTTCTTGAAAATCCCATCTAACCCCCTGCCCCCCACAAGGTAAGGATAAGGATTGAAGTTACAAATTAGGGACAACTAAAGACCGCAACAAAAGAGCATTGTATATAACTATTCCCAGTGCGGCTTGCAGTAACGTTTCGGGATTTTACAGCCACACAAATGTATAAATGGTACAAATGCTGGAAGCCTGCACTGTTCTGCAGGCTGAACTATAGTTACATTTACACGGCGCCATTCACGTCAGGAGGGGCTGGACAGTCAGGGATTTGGACCCGAGCTGGGGGGTAGGGATCAGGAGCGGTGGAGGGCAGAGAATCAATCCAAGCCTGGCAAAAGCTGGAGTCCGAGAATTCTCAGTTTGCTTTGGATACTCGTAAACACAGTGATAGGGTTCTGCATGTGTCAGACACCCGGCTGAGCAAAAAAAATACATATTTATATATTAGTGCTGAAATCGTTCTTTATCCTTGCATTTTTTGATACAGCGCCTTATCGTGTCGTTGAGACATCTCACATCACTTCAGAGAATATAATGTAAAGTGAATTGACTGCGTATTTTGTGGGCGAAACTTTACTGCTATCTCTGTCTTCCCTGCTGGTTGTGAAAACTTTAATTGAGACCTTAACATAAAAGGTAACGTAAGCAAGACCCTGAGGTTGGGTGGAAAAGAAGAAAGC